ACTTATAAATTTTTTTATTACTTATAAATCAGTATTGTTCTCTGAATGCATGCACCATTGAAATGTGATATGTTGGTGTTTGTGTCTGCAGCAAACTGGCCTCACCTCAAGTGCCACTTGTGGGGAACCAGCCCACTCCTCTGGGCTTTCCCCACCTGGGGCACCACTTACAGGGACCTAGTCTTGCTATTTGTCACTCTGACCCAGAGGTGAAGGAGAATGAAGGACAAATAAACACGGAGTTAGTTTAACACTTGCACAGCAGGGGGCTCTTGCCCTTTAGTTTGTCTGGGGAGCGGGGCTTGTCCTGCCCTTATTCACCCAAATACCACCCATAGGAGCAATTAAAATAACATGAGACCCATGCACCTCATATTGTCCATTAATACACACAAGGTGAACAATTTAATCTCAGTTGTATACATTTTTGCCTTGCCTTTCCCTTTGTGCTCACACAGGAGGCCAGTTAGGACTCAGTTTGCCACTGATCTCCCAAATGTCAATGTTCTGTAAATATTCTACAGATAATACGAAAAGTTTGGTGCTAACGTCAGAAATTCTTTTTCTGGGGGGTGGGGGAGGGGTACTGGCGATTGAACTCATGGCCTAGCACATGCCAGCAGGTACTTATGCCACTGAGCTAAATCCCTGACCCCAAGAAATGCTTTACATTTTAAAAACTTATTTTATCTTTTATTTCATCTTATGTCAGTGCAAAACTCACATTCTGAGACTTTGGTAATCCGTTCCTCTTTGATGTTTGGGAGATAATACATGAATGTAGGATAGATAAATATTCTGATCAATTCAGTAGATAATTCTAGGAGATCAGAATCAAAGTATTTTGTATTTGTAGAGAGTTCTTTGTGCATTTTTTAAATTTGATACATTTTTGTAGTACAAAATGGTTGCATTCATCATGGGGAGTTGGTACATATTCATATTCTAAATTATTTAATTCCCTCCCCCTTCCCTGCCTCTCTTACACTGTAAAAAAGGATGTTGATATTTCCCCTGATTCTATGGAACATATGAATGTACTGTAATTCATATTGCTTATAATGAGTACTAAATATTATCTGAGTAACACAAAGTTTTTTTTTTAATCCTCCATCTTATTTAGATAAAATCCTAATCAGATATGCAATTTTTCAAAGAAGTTTCTCTTTCTGTGAAGGTTGCAAAGAATAAGACATATTGGGCTTACAATCGCCTTCTGTCCCAGAATCTCAAAGTTCCTTGAGATCTCCTAGAATTGCACAGAACAGTTTGAAACTGCGCTCTTCAGTGCAGATGAGGGAGGCGCTGTGAAGCAAATTCCAGTTAATGCTATAATATGTTGGTGTTATTTTTCATTATTACTTTGAAAAAATCCTTTCTTCTTAAAGGTCTGGAGAAGGCAAAAGCCAACTCGGATGCAAAGGTTATTTTCAGACATCTGAAGACAAGTACATACATTTCAGGAGGAACTTGATGCGTTTTTGCACTCATTGTGTAGGATTGAATCCGGTGGGTGAAGAATGCCAGGGTATAGATGTCACCTTTCTTGACGTGAGGAATCTCATTGTTTCAAGTGCAGCTCTGCCCCAGAGACTGATCGGGGTGTTCATCACAGTTCTTCATGTGAAGTTTGGAGATTTTTAGTAGGAATGCTTTAAAGAAGTTATTATCCAGCATGGGGTCTGGAGGAGTTCTTCCAGACATAAAATTCCATGCTTCTAGTGGAATACCAGACTGTTTACTGTAATGTTTGTTAAAGACAAATTTTTGTTGGGTGGGTGAGGTAGAAAGATTGCAAGTTCAAAGACAGCTGGCCTACACAGTGAGACTCTTTAAAAAAGTATTTTTGTTACAGTGGCTTCAGGAAGACAAATATATTTATAAAACTCACACAATATCTTAGGAAGAGCATATAAAATGTATTTTTAGAATAAAAGATGTGATCTCTGTCCTAATAGTCCCTGTCCATGTGCACAGAGGACATGAACCTTCCAGTTTTGATCAGTGCCTGTGATTTTTTAACACACAGAGATGGACAATTTAATGGATATTAGCTACAGACACATAAATTACCTTAGTTTTGATGAAATACATCAAAGTTTTATTCCCTCTAGCTTAAAAGTTAAGTTTAAATAAACTGATATTTTTCATTTTTCCCCCTAGGTTCATAAAATTCTTTTGTTCCGCAATATAAATCTAGTCTTTCTAGGTATGCAGGAGTTTATTGTCTAGTTGTGCCTGAAGCATTGTTATTTTTTACTTGAGATTCTTTTAGTTACAGACACTGTTACATCAGTCAGCTGATGTTTTATTCCATTGTATATGCACTTAAATCAATTGTCATTTTCTAGCTAATCTAGAAATCAATCCTTTTTGGAAATATTTGATCTCTAGCCCATAGGAGATGATGACGACGACGACGATGATGATGATGATGATGATGATGATGATTTCCCTGCCATGCCATACACTTTCTTCCCAGGAGTTTTATTAACTATCTTACACAAATGCTTTACATACTAAACACTTGACTCTGGTTTACCAAGTTTATAGTCTGGCTGTTTACTTTCTGAAGTCACTCCAGCGGGCTTCTCTTGCCCACTGTGCCTATATATGCCTAGGTGCTATCTATCCATCTATCTAACTACCTATGTATCTACCTGTGTATCTATCCATCTATTTAACGACAGGATCTCCAGCCTTTCTCTATGATTCACTCACACCCTGAGCTCACTAGCGAAGGCTGGTCTTATACATGTGACAATCTTTCTACCTTACTTAGTCTCTTAAGTGCTGGGATCACAGGGATGTGCCACCAGGCCGGCTGTTGTGCTGTTTCTTGAACATACCTGTGTTGCTACAGCATGGAGGCTTTTGCAGTGTGTAGACTGCTCTTTCCTTCTCATGTTTGTGTAACTAACAATGCCAAGTTTCATTAAAGCCTGAGAGAGTTCTCGGTGTAGGTGTCTTCTTTAAACCTCAAGCATGTAGCCTTTACAAATTACCCTATTTAAATTTTCTGTAGACTACTCAAAGCTAAAAGTACTTTTAAAAATATATTTGTGTATTCTCTATTGCTCTTTCTCAATGAGTGAGTCATTAAAGTAGGTGTGTGGTCTCTTGTTCTTCAAATTCTCTACCACCTACAAGGAGACCTGGCACCTGATGGGTGTTTGATAAGTATTTGTCAAGTGAATGAACAGTAAACATATGTTCCATTACTCAAATGTGATATAACTGAACTTGACTAAGGATCAAATCTTTCTACTATTATTCCTGAAGCTTATAAAATAACATGCTTTTCTCTACTTTTGCTATAATGTCTTTTCATTTCCTTCCGTGTAGTATTTGCATATAAATATTAGGGAAACATGGTCTCCATAAAAACTGCGAAGATATATTAAAACAGTCACATTGTCATTTTGGGCAATGACAGGCTATATCATTATACATATATACAGGTTGAAAACTTAGAAATGAGGCCTCTGACATGGAACATCAAAGGAAGTGTTTATTTAGAGTTTTAGATTTTCACAACATTTTGTTCTTGAAACTTGTTCTCTTCCTGGACACCTGTTTCATTTGCATAGGCTATCAGTGACATCCAGATTACCTTTACATATATATTTAATGATCCTATATTGTAATGGTGAAATTTAAATTTTTGTTTTAGGGCACGGTATCAGACTTACATGGATTAACAGATATTATAATATGACTTCTGCTATAAGAGATACATTTGTTTTATATATATATATATATATATATATAATTTATGGGGATATATTTTTTATTCTCAATTTGTAAATATATGAAACAATACATTATAGTAACTGTAATCTCGCGTTAGAATGATGATCATGAACTTCTCTTACATTATTGATTTTCCTAATTTCTCTGCTGCTTAATGATAGTTAATATAGTGTTCCTAATGTATTTTTAAACATGCATGTTATAATATGCTAACATATTTGTGGAGATCAAGATATTTTCCTTTGTAAAATATTTTATTTCTTTTGGTAGGTATGTTTTTATTATCTTTCGTACACTTAATAAATTGCAGTGAATGTAGAGAAATATATGTTTTATGTGTGGATTTACCAAAAAAAAAAAAAAAAAACAAAACAAACAAACAAAAAAAAAAAAAAAAAAAAAAAAACCTGTACTTAAATAGCTGTCTTTTTCATAGCATATAATGTATGGATGGCTGTTTTGTGAATTATTTAAAAATCCTATGTGTATAATTTTATTTTTTCATTACTGTCTTGGTCTTCCATATTTATTCATTTATTTAATATGTACCATTTGTCAGTAAAATCATTGTGTATATAAATGATGAAAAAATGTATGTATATCCTTTCCACGTTAATATCCATAACACTTCGTAGTCTCTTTCAAAAAATGTCAGCTAAATAACCTGAAAACATATAAATAAATATAGAAGAGTCCATGTAAGTGTAACCATACCCAAACAAAACAAAATAAATAACAAAAAAAATCACCTTTTGAAAATTTCAACTATTACGCTATCAAGCTGTTTTGTGCAAAACGAGCTCAGTAACCAATAATTTTATTCACTCGTATAGATACTGGTGCCCATAATTTGTATCAAGAGTGTTGTAACTATAAAAATCTAAATAAAATTTTTATAACGTTTTTATTTTGTGCAGGTAGCTAGCTTACTCTTCTTTCAATAATTGTGTTCAGTTTTATAATCAGTGCTATGGATTAATCAGGAAGGTGTTTTTGTTTTTGTTTTTGTTTTTGTTTTTGTTTTTGTTTTTGTTTGTTTGTTTTCTGAATTAGAATAGCGTTTAACTAGACCTCCTACCAGCACTCAGGAGGTTGGTCCCTCAGGTCCAGGGTTTCTGAGGGTCCTGGGTGGCTGGAGTCCAGAGCCTGTGGCCTGCAGCAGGGCGCTGCCTGGAAATAGGCTCCGCTGGGGCTGATGGAACCAGCTGAGCAGTGCGGGTCTGATGTGCGCCCTGCGGTCCCCGCAGGTGGCAAGCACAGTGAGCGACATCCAGCCCTTGCTTCTCCGCTGCGACACGCCGAGCGCAGCCCAGGAGGTGCTCTGCCGCCCGGACATCTGCTTCAGCAGCCGGCCGCGGAGCGCGCCACTGCTCACCGTGGACAAGGGCCCCGTGCAGCTGCCAGAGGAGTTCGTGGTCCAGGTGCCCAAGGAGCGCAGATTGCAGCCCAAGGTGCGGCCAGCGGTGGGTAGAGCGGTCGGGGGTGGCTGGGCAGTGCCCGAATGTGGCTTTCATATATTTACTGTCTGCAACCATTGGATGTGCTAGCCAGTTGTTTCAATAATGCATGGCTGTTCTGTATTATAGCCTTATTCTTATTTTCAAATATTTCGTTTACATTTTTTCATTGGATTTGAAGTATATTTGCATTATTGCAGGAAGTTTTAAATTATTATTAGTGACAGTTTCAACTATCGTAAAAGTTTAAGGCTCTATAAGAGATGCTTTCATATTTCTGAACATCTGCTTCTTTGAAAAAAAAAAAAAAACAGTGTATTAAAAGGTTTACGAGGAAGACACCTTATTAAGAATTACATATATGGGCTGGGGATTTAGCTCAGTGGCAGTCCTGAGTTCGATCCCTGGTACCAATAAAAACGAAAAAGACAAAAAAATAAATAAAAAAATAATTACATATATTTGGTTACAGCATAAAATTTAATAGAAAAGCTATGGTTGTGAAACACCGTAATATTCTCCTGAAAATGTTGCAAAGTAGTTAGCCATATTACTTTTGGAACTAGCAAGTATACTGAGTGACACCCAGCTCTTCAAATGCCTCTGAAGAATTTATGCAACATTTGTGCAAAACTGAATATTGAGTCTCTTCCCTACTAATTTGTATTTTGTTTTTCCATAATATTTGGCAGTATATTTTTCTTTTTTTTCTCACAAAACTCTTTATAGGCATTCTTATTGCTGAAATTCCCAGGGAATATATCATAGAATTTGGTGTGTGTGCCACAATACAAAAAAAGGTCAGAAGGAATTTAGTTGGGAAGCACGATTGCAGAGTCTTGTCACAAACCAGTCATCTACCCTACCAATAATTTATAAAACACTCAGTAAGTGCACAGTGACATGCACATGACCATTAATCCCCTAAAACTGCTTTGCGTCTCTTACAACACACTTAACCATTTGCCACTTTCCAAAGCAGTTCTGGAAAGTTTCTTCATGACCAGCTTTAGTTATGCTGTTGTGGCTGTCATGATGTCCTGAATCTGTTGAACGTATTTCTCAAGGGAATACAGCTCAGTGGCACAACGCCTGCCCGGCAAGCGCAGCGTTCTGAGTGCAATTTCCAATACCAGGAAAAAAAAAAAGTTTCTCATTCATGGTTACCTCTTTGATTCTGGGAAGGAGCCGGAAGTCGTATGGTGCCGAATCCAGGGAAAAAGGGCACACATTGCCAAGTTGCATCACTCTGGGCTATAGTGACAGCGTATTTTGTTTCAGACAGAGACAAAAGTAAAAGTGCAGGCAGGTGTCATGGGACCTCATAGAGACAAAGGTAAACATCATGTGAAATCAAAGGAGCTTGCAGAATCATGCTAGTTTTGTGATGCAGTGTTCTCTCAGAAAGTTGCTACAAAGGAGTTTGTTTCAGTGAGACCAAGTGAATGAAGGTCACTTAAGAGCACTCCCCATGGAAAGAATAAAGAAGAGTATGTAAATATTACAGGCATAATCTCTCTGGGTAGGTGGTACCTTAGCTAAAGGACTTGGACAGATATTAAAAATAAAATAAAATTTGTCTTGATCATTCAGTTTGATTTTAAAAAATTGATATTGCTTTTTAAATGTTAATCTCATTTTTTCTATAGATAGTGAAACAGACACGTGCAGGTGCCATATAAACAACCATAATAACAAATCAAAACCCCTTTTGTTGGTCTAAAGTGACTTTTTGCTCTTTTTTTCTCCCCTTTGGATTCATTTGACTCTTGATAGCTAATAGCACTTGAGAGTTAATGAGTATTTGGGTTCACAGAAATTACGACTTCACGGTACAGCAGCAAAGCATAAAGAATTTAAAAAATCTCGAGTCAGGTTTCTTTTTTGCATTTTAAGGCAGAAGGAGCTCTGAGGGCAGATTGCCCAGCTAATGACTAGGTATGAAGACTTTCCCTAGAAGCTAAAGGGATGTTAATGTGTTTTATATCAGCTTATCCTTTGCTTGATTTGTAACCTTTATGTGGATGCATACAGAGTTCCTTCAGAGGTCCTACAAATATCCCTCCTGCAGACCACAGGCAGGCTGTCAGGTTCATTCAGTTTTGTGCTTGGAAAGCAGACTAAGCATTCCAGGTGTGACAAGAAAACTGAAAACTCCACCCCACACTCTTTTTAAAGTCCCCTTTGTAGAAGCCTCAAAGCTTTTCTAAGGGACTTGTGAATTCTATCAGTTCCTCTGGAGAACTGCATCAAATTCTACCACAACTTCATTAGATTATAATATTTATGGATGGCAATTTTATAATTATAAACAAGAAAACTCTTAAGTTTTAAATTTAATTGAAACTACATCAGCCTTTAAAATATCATGGAGGTTGCTTCATTCCTCATTCATTCTTGCACACATTTCATTTCCCAGTAACACTGATTTCAGTACAAATAATGCTGGAAGCTACGCTCAATTCCTCGAAGATAAAGATGGAGAACTCCCCAACTTTGATCGTTGAATGCTTGCTGGAGGACACTTTCTGTCTGCACCCAAAGCGATAAAGGTCTTCAAAGAAAAGGCAAACTTGCGTCATGTGTTCACGTATCTGTGTTGGATTTGGGCTGCTAAATGCTGATATAGTAGTTGAGGAGTACATAACTTTTATGCAAATGGAAGTGCTCAAGTACCAGATTCTAGAGATTAGTAAGTAAGCCCAGTGAGCTACTTAGTTGTTTTTGTTTATATGTTTTTCTATTCTGCCAATTCTCCTGTTCATTATCTTTGCTAAACCTGTCTTTCCTGGCTCACTGTGAGGGATTGTGATCTCAGGTTGTGCACCGTTCCTCTCACTGGCAATACCCACCGCCAACTGGCACTTGCCAGTTTTGCCTTTAAACTCAGATTAACAGGAAAGAGAATTTAACCCTAGTTGGGTTGAGTCCATCTTCCTTATCTAGTGAGTCACATTACTGGAAATCGCATGGGCCACAGCCCCACAGTAGTAATGTGCTATAGAGTCAGTGCTGGGACACCAGGTTCTGCAGTGCACGTGGAGGAATTTTCTACCTGGCCCTGCTGAGTCAGAGTATGTGCTTCTGAAGATTCAATGGCAGCTAAGCTGCAGCCTGACAAGCAGGGTTTTCATTCAATCTTTTTATTCCCTAGCAATTCCTAGCAGGGATATGCTAGAGCCAAGATTAGACCTGAATTTTGAGCTTTTCTGTCTTCTCAGACTGTCTTAGTCGGTTTTCTTGTTGTTGTACACACACACACACACACACACACACACACACACACCAAAAAAAAAAAAAAAAAAAAAAAAAAAAGGAAAGAAAGATTTAAAAAAGGAGATACCCACACAATTTATTGGGCTTCTGGGCTGGGTATTTAGCCCAGCGGTGTAAGTGCCTACTTGGCAAACACGAGGTCATGAGTTCAATCCCTGGTACAAAAAAATAAAATAAAATTAATGGATTTTAAATTGGCTCATGGATTCTTTCAGTTCAGCTGGCTGAATAGCAAACATGTCATAGTAGAACAACAAAGCAGAACAAAACCGCTTAGCCCTAGGAAGCTGGAAGCAGCTCAGGTAACAACTCCAGAGAGGAAAGGACAAGGGACCAGCTGTGGTTCCCAAAGTCACTCCTCTGTGACCCACCAGATACACCTGAATGTGGGCTTTACTCATCCCCAGGCAGCTCCTAAATCAGTCAACTTGACAAGCTTAACCGTCATGCAGATCTAGATATACTTACTATTCATAGGGTTTCTCACACATTATTCCCTGTCAAATTCAGGAAAGAAGCAGGGTCCTGTTCCTTTTTGCCCTCATTAACAATGTAACCCAACAGACAATTAATAAGAACAAAAATTCGTCCCTGTGTGTCTTTTGAGAATGCCTCAGAAATGGATCTTGAATCATGCCTTGCTTATTTAAAACATTATTAAAATAACATAGTCCTTGATAATTATCTAAAGTGATGTTTTATCTTGAGAAAATGGTTGATGTTTTCCTTGTATAAAAGTCTTAAAAATAAAACTGTGCTCCAAGATACAGGTTCAAGACCACAGTTGCAAGTATCACAGAATTTGACCTGTTCTGACATTTCAGTAAACTCCTGCAGGAGGGGTAAGGATGACAAAATGTGTTTGTTATGCCATTTGCAACACCTTGAAAGAGGCACAGCACTAGATCATCTTAGCAGTGTAGAATCCACCCTGATAGGGCACATCACGGAGATTGGAATCAATAAAAACGCCAAGAGGTGCATGAAGGATGCTTTAAATCCATGTGAGCCAGAACACCAACATCTAGTATGTGAGGTAGTAGGGAGCACATTTCCTCTTACTTCAAAATCACATCCCTTGTGTCCTACATGATCTTTAGCTACATGGTACCTAGCCTCGGAAAGTCAAAGAATGTACTCAGGAACAAGAAGTGGCATCGTGCTGTAACCAGCAGACAAAGACAAAACTCAGACATAGAAAAATTTTATCACTTTCCTAGAGAAGCCTTGACCCCATCCTTCCGTACTTTGGTAGATATTACTTTTACTGGTGAGAAAATACTCTGTCCTCTACTCTGCTTTAGCTTAGCAAAATGTGATTAAGGTGACTTCCCTCCAAGTGCACCCACAGTTACCCCTATGCTTAAGGAAACTTCCTATTCTCCTACTTTTTGATTAGAGTGTCTAGAAGTTGTACATGCAGATGTAAATATACATCATGGGGTAAATAATTTCTGCTTTAATTTCATTTCATTTAATGTATGATCCCTGGGAAATCTGAGATTTTGTCTCTCATGTTATTAGTGTTATTTTTGTTGACAGTGATGCTATCCTTACAATATCCATAATATTTTTGAAAAGTTGTTTCTAATGTTGTTATTCCAGTATGGTATAGATAAAGGGTAGAATTTGTGGGGAGGTGAGGAGCAGAAAAGAATTCTAGCAGAAGAACTGAGATTAATGTTCCCACAGCAACAGGAAACCTTCTGTTTTATAAGCTCAGCCTTTTG